AGGCTGATTAGCCCGTCGAGAGCCTTCGACATATGCACCCCTGCTTCTTCTGCTGCATCTGCTGCTGCCTTAGCCTCCTGCAGGCTCTTCGCGCCACGCAGCACCTCCATTTGCCTGTGCATCGAGCTTAGATCCTTATCCGCATTCTTAAACGACAGCACCCATGTCTTAATGGACAGGTTACCAATGTTGTCCCTGGCTTCACCTGTTTTATGTCTGAAACTCGCCAGAGTCTTGGCACCCTTCAGCAATGCAAAAGCAATTTTCTGTAGAACTGCTCCTTTTGCGCTTACAACCTCCAAGTGTCCTAGACGGCTGTTCGTGAACAACTGCAAAGAACTCCGGCGCAGCTCCGCGGCCACAACTTTTGCTGCTTCTAGCCTCTTTAAGCAACGATGGACACCTTCCACTGCAACCCGCGCCGCAGAAAGCCGCACGGGCAACTGCTCCAGCTGCCGCTGCTGCAGTGGAGGGAAGCTCTGTAGCTGCGTCTTGATTGTTGTTGCATCATCTTTCTGGAAGTTAATGCTATTCTTGCAGGCTCTCACAACTTGCCCCCATGCCTGTTGGTATGATCGTGCTGCTTCTGTGCTTTCTAACACGAGGCTTTCAAAACCTTCATCAGTCAGACACGTTTCTATGGCGGAAGTAAATGCTATTGCTTCACCTGTCATCACAATAACTCTTACCAGTTCTTGCAGAGCTGCAAGATCGTTTGCGGCTGCTTGATTCGCAGCAGCAATCGCAGCCACTGCTGCACGGTCCCCGACCTCTGCAGCAGACTGATGCTGCTCCGCCGCATCCATATGCCCTTTCAGTTGCACCAGCAGCTCAGTAGATATTGGCTCATTCAGAGATGCACCCAAAGATTGTGCAGGGAGCCAGCAAGCACGCACCTGCTGCTGCAGCTCCAACTGATCTGCAGCATATTCCATACTAGATTCTCCTTGCTCTTGTTCTTGTTTTTGCCCCCGTCCTTCCCCTTCTTCCTTCAGTCCTTTACTACTGGTCGTCTTCTCTTTTTCCTCTCCTTCCTTTTTCTCATTCTCATGGGGCACTGTAGGGAGACTCTTGTCCTTGGAAGCAGCAGCAGCAAACGCCCTTGCTGTAACAAGGGCCACCAGAAACACAAAATATGCAGCAGAACCTAATGCAGGCCAAGCAGACTTCTTCCACGCAATAGGCACGATATCCGCCTTCACAGGCACAGGCTCCGGGTGTAGATTCCGTTGTGTCGTTTCCCCTACATCGTAAGTTGAAATAGTAGCCGCTTCCTCTACTTCAAAGCCTGTGCTGCTCAAACTAAAATATTGGGACGCCGAAGAAAGACTGAAACGGCAGAGGAAGAACATGACCAGCAGCATGCGTAGACGAAGAGACCCTCCAGTCGTTCCCCGCAAAGGCACGGTAACGGCAGGCCATTTACTGCCTTTCCATTTCAGCATTTGAGACACGAACTTAATTACTCAATAGAAACGTTGAGGTACGACGGGGAGGATGAAACATGCAGGGAGCTCCCCAAGGCCCCCAGGAAGGCCAGCTGCCTAAAATGCGGGTAAATGAAGCACCATTCCATGAAGATTAAACAGATGTAACATTTTTGCTTCCAAAAAACTTTGAAATATTGAAGAAAAGGCAGATATGGAAGGCCACGCTATCTCCGACGGGCACGTACCACTCCTGACCCTAGCCGCAACTCCCGCCGATACAGCTGCTGGTTCTACCTGGATCAGCTGAACTCCTCCCAAAAGCTCATGGACGCATTTGCATCACTTGTTACGTTTTATTATTGCGCTATATCAGATAACTGCATTCCGTTTCTCTGTCCGTAAAACGACAACGGCTCTGCGGATACGTCCAGCAAGCTAAGTCCTGCTCGTTCTTCGCTCTCCTGCCGATTTCTGAGCGTTTGTCCCTCTGTTGTCTTTCTGCCTTTGGAAATGCTGTTGCCTCTTCTGCCAACTTGTGTATCATACTTCCCTGTCTACTGCCCTCTCGAAATTAGTGTGCAATTTTGTAGCCTCCCCCCGTCCCCCCACAACAAAAAACACCGCAACCGAAAACAGTAGGTAAGCGTCATGCAATAAGGACTCCTGGTTCTTTTCACCTTATTATTATCTCCTTTCTTGTGCCTTCCTTCTGTTAACCGGATCAGCGTATTTCATTTCCTCGTGCATATTCGCATGTTATGCGGGATTGTGTGTACATTTTCCTTTAGTGGCGTTCTTGTATCATTGCTTGGGCAATGCTGGCAAGTCTTTCTGACTTCGGGGCATTAACCAGTACGTGACCTTAGTAGACAAATTGTGCAACGGTCTTCAATGTATGCAAATAGAGCCAAGAAGGCACCCGGATGCCTTCATGTTAGGTTGACCGCCGCCGTCAGTTGCAGCAACGTGCGTTGTGTTGCAAGTATCGCCATGGGGACCCCTCTCCCGCAGCTCCACCCGCTTCAGTCGCTGAGCCCAGAAAGCCTACAGACTGGCGAAGGATATCAGTTGCTATAATTAGCGCTCATCCTAAGTATTTTGGCTACGCTGCATCTTGCAATACTCCCTGGGTAAGGGCCCGGATCAGCGTTACATACATAACTGGTCCCTTATCCCGCAATGTTGGACACACCGGGATCCTCTCTGTCTGTTCTTCGTTTCATTGTCTTGCTCCCTGCCTCCTTTCCTACCTCCTTTCTACGTCTATATACTAAAAAAATAGCTACTCACTTCTCTGCCTACGTTGTTGTTACGCCGTCGTCTTCCTGTTCTTGCTTGCTTTTTCTGCTTGTGCTGCAGCGCCACCACTGTCTCGCTGCTGCTGTCTGTTCGACTCCCCTGGTAAATGCAGCGTGCTGTTCCCCAAGTGCTAATAATCATTTTGCTGTCATTTGGATCACAGATAGCTGACCGCCCTAACTGGCCTTGTTCTGTACTGTAGCTTCTCGACAAGGCCAAGGACTTCTTCCTCGCTCCTCCTAGAGTCCACCCTCACCAATTGTAGTGTCTTCGTCATTTTCTAGCACAACTGAATGCCGCAAATAGAAGTATCTTAGCCTTGGATACTGCAGTTCTGTGTGGTGAGTGTATCACGGCATGAAAACCGCTTTACAGGAGCAGATCCTTATTTTCCCCTTTCTTTTTCTTGGGCATGCTACCATTTAGTTACAAGGGGCTATGGCAGAGCTTTGGAAGGTGAAGCAGTGGAAGCGATGTCTATCGATAAAGCCTTATATCGAGGAGTATGAATTATTGCTGAACAACCCTCTAGCAATCGACTCCTAAGTTGTGTGTCAGCGGTCCATTGCAGGGATGTCCCGAGACTGAGGTGGGCGGTCACCTGGTTTAAATTAACTCGCATACTCAGTACATTCGCTCCATGGCAACTTCCAGTTGTCCGCCTAGATCAAAGACTCTCGTTAGACATCTTCCATACCGGCAGCGGCCTCGTAGACTCACAAACGCGAGAAGACCAGCTGCAGGAGTCAAGAGACAAGCATACCTGCTGCTCCTCGTAACCTCCTGTGGCTAGCTGGCACCCGACTACCTGCAGCTGACTAGAAACACGTCCCTGCCCTCTCCCCATGCGGCGCTGGGTCGAGAGCCCTACAGGGACGCTGCGGGTTATGCTTCATTTGCAGGTAGCCGCGTCTTCTCTAGCGTAGCTAGCTGCACTTCGCCAAGTATTCTAGAGCGAATAGTCTTGCTGGCCGTAGGAAGTGTACAGAAGAGTGTAGCTGGTTGCGTTTCTCCAGGGAAGCAGGTGGCTAGCAACTGAGAGGACATTGTTAGCTAGCTAGCTGGAATCAGCTGGCGATCCGGTGGTAAGTGGGTGGGGGGGGG